AAATTTGTAAAACTTATCATGTGGGGTTATCCGGTCTTTTTATTTTTCCCCGGAGGGCCGCCCTGTTTTTTACACCTGGGCGGTAAAAAACTGATTAACATTTTTTTGAAATTTATTGTCCTTGCTGGGGCGCGAGCAGGTGCCCCTCAGCAAAACAACGCGTGCGAACCGGCTTAGCAATCTTTCTTCCTTTTTTTGTCCTGGTTGTGAAGTGCAATGCAATCATGTATGTATATAAAAGTGGAATTTGCGAAAATTTGATTGATACACTGGGCACAGCAGGGCAAAACCTTTCTAAGGAACCCAAGATTTGTTTCTGTATGTTTTTTAAGTTGCCATGATACCTGCAATGGGGACAGTGGGTTTTGTTTCAACACTTGCATATGGTTTCCAATGTCAGTCTGTTAGTGTTCAACTGAAATTTGATATTACAAACAACCCGTTTCATGTTTTGGTGATCAATTTGATGAATTACCCTGACATGTTTGTTTCGGGGCGTTTGAGGCTCAAGGCGTTGTGTGACAGTCCAGAATGCCTGCGCCAGCACATATGCCACCAATAACATGCTGCGCAGAAGCATCTCCAGTCCGACCTCAAAAGATCCAAGCAGTTTTCTCAGTTTCAGTTCATGGCCAGATTTGTAAGATAGTTTTCCTTCGTCTGACATTGTGCTGTCAACCTTTTTAAGGTTTTGCAATTCGTTCAGATGGTTGGATTGAAATGTGTTTAGCAAACCTGCGAACTCCTTCTGCAGGTGACCAAAACTGCGATCGTCGAAGAGAAAAGCATGAAGGGAGTTCCAGCTTCAAACCGAGACGGCTCTGGGTTTCCTCAATTTAAGATGTCCTTGTCTGCGCTGCACTGGCAGCAAGATTCTTGGTTGGAGAGAAGTGGTAGGTCCTTCTGTGGATTGAACTCCCAGTCTGTTGACTTTTCTCAGCAGAGGAGCAAGCTCTGGCTACCATTGTGGCCTTGATTGATGAAGTGGACTCTTTGAATATACCAGACAAGATCATACCCAAAGAGGCCCCAATTGCAGCTTGTTGCACAAAGTAGTGAAGCTGCATTTTCAAGTCGGTGCATAATTTGGAGTGTGCAATGTGTATATAAGTGTGAATAATTTTGAATAGCAGTGCCACGGAAACTGTGTTGAAGAAGAGGCAAGCGTACACTTCAATCCAGTTCGAATCTAATCGGGATTCTAGGAACCTAGCAACGTAGAAAGGAGCTGCTTGAGTGAACTTGAGTGGTGATGCAGTTCCTAAATGAGACATGTGCCGCGAAAGCAAGGATTTCAAGCAGGAGGTTTCCCATTTACGTGAAGACTGGGAACAGCCTTTAGAATGTGTGCCTATTCCTCCTGCTGAAAAGTGGGATGAAAAGCCTGTCCCTCGTCTTGCAATGGGGCCGAAATGAGAAACCTTTGTTTCCTGACAATTTGGACGCAGGCTTCTGTGCAAGATCTTTGGCTGCATCTGAGGTGAAGTCTTCTGGCACATACTCAAGGTACCAGGCGCTCATGCAGCAAGACTCAGGAGAAGTTCGTCCACTGTGGTATGCCAAGACACGAAGATGTAGTTGGCGGTGTGCAGCCATTCTTGCAGAATCAGTTACACTTAAAAAACTGGTGCTTGTCAGGAGAAGTCAAACCGCGAGTTCCAACAATCCAGGTTGATGGTTTGACAGTCTGGACTAGGTGGCAGCTAGACAGAAGCTTGAGTTGCGTTCCGAGGGTAAGATGGCAGTACCCGGATCAATGCAGCATCTAAGGTGGTGTGTTCGCATCACCTCCCATCGATACTTTGACTATGTGATTGGCGTTCTTATTTTGATTAACTCACTTCTGGTGGGAATTGAAGTGGAGCTCAGCGTGAAGAAGCCCCCACAAGTGCTGGAATGGATGCAGCCTGTTGACACGGCTTTCATTGTCGTGTATTGTATTGAGATCTTTATGCGTCTTTTCGGGAATGGCTGGAGAGTATGCTTTGCGGATGGATGGTTTCTGTTGGATTTTGTCCTCGTGGTTGTGGGTGTCATCTCAGCCTTTGTTCTAGAGCTCACGGAGCTCCTTGTTGGAAACCAGGAAACAGTTTACAAAACAAGTGCAAGAACTTCACACGTTGTTTTGCATGTTTTACTATCAATATCGAGGTGGAAAGTACCTACAGTGCACACTTAGTAACTTCAGTATTTTGGTCTTGTAGCCAAAGTCCGTGAAGCTGATAATCCACTACTGTCATGACTCTGGATTTGCTAAGGGTTGGTGGGGGTGATCTCGGCCTTCTAGAATCAGTCTTGGTGATCAGAGCAATGCGTTTGCTGCGGCTAATCAGAGCCTTGCGCATGCTAAAATATTTCAGCTGCTTGGTTCTGGGATTGGCAGACTCTTCATGACTGTTCCAATGTCAAAGTTTGACTTGCTGATGTTGTGGGTCTTGTTCCAAGGAACTGTTTGGCGGCTCGTGTATGGCCTGCTAACATCGCACAATGCAATGTTCTCAACACTGGCCTTGATTGTATTGACACTCTATATTTTTGCCTGCCTCGGTGTCGAATCATGGTGGCGCTCATATTACTTTGTCATTTCCTGGTTTGTCCTTGTTTTGCCCTACGACTAGCATTCAGAAAGCAGTGGTGTAGCAGCTAAGGAGCTCATAAGCAAGGATCCAGACTTTCAAATTGAGGGGGATGAGACATTCGATATTGTGAACACACATTTCGCTTCCGTACCTGGCACAATGCTGACTCTCATGCAATTTGTGACTGTGGACTCAGCACTTGCCTTACAAATTGACGGCATCGTTCCATGAAGTGTGGCATATGGTTGGATAGGTTAATGCAGTGCAACTCAGGTCGCCATAATCTATGGTCCGCTGGTGCGCAAGAACGGTAAATACTATTTGGCAATATATTTCTGCGTCTGCCTCTCAGACATCGCTGCAGGATGTATTTCGATGGAGATCATTCGACTTGGCAAAACTGGAGCAGACTCTGGCAGGATCTGGCGCCTCCGGTGCTTTCTTCAGTTCCATAAATCAGTAGCTTACTAAGCAGCTGAAGTCTGAAATCCAAGCCAGAACCTCCGAGAAGCTGCTCCCTGGACGAAGTCACTAGCCGCAATTCGACCAACCAGCTAATGACAAGCTCAAATTTGCCTCAACTGCCAGGTGGTCCTCCCCAACGTCTCTCTCAGGATTGGACACACAGACACACAACACCAGAAGAATCCAGAGCGACGGCAGCCAACGTAACATCAACCTGCTGGTTGTTGTTCAGTGGCTGCCGAGGCTTGCTTGTGCAACAGTAAGGAAATCTCAAGAGGCTGTCCAGCGGCATATTGGAGAAGGATTGCATCTGCAAATCGCGTTGACCCGCCCACCAGCTTGAACCGGTCCCTGGACACAGTACAATCACCATGTGGACAGTGCTTGGTGTGTGAGAACATTTTTGCATTCATAGACATCCTAGTGCGTGTTGCAGGATAGGCACTGTTGACCGGACCCTTGATAGCATGGAGCCCGAGCACCTTTGCAGGGTAGACGCAGCCTGGAAACGTGGAGACTATTCTTTTTTGCTCCCTGCCGCAATTGCTTGTCTGCCTGTCTTGCTCTCTGTCTGTCCTTTTGTTTTGTTGCATTTTTTTTGCAATCGATTGCAGCAGTATTCTTGTCCTGTACTAGCTTTTGTTCGCTTGTCCTACACAGGCTCTTCTGTTCTTGTTTCATCTGTTTTGTTTTGCTTGCACTTGGAGGAATGCAGCCTCAGCATTGCCAAACCTTGCAGAAGTATACTTTGAAGCCTCACATTGCTCCAAGTTCCTCTCCCAAAAACTTTCCCCCACAGCACCATGGAGAATTTGTCCTTGCATTAGGAGTTTATCTCCAAGAATCAAGCCCCTCACTGCAAAGTCCCACAGTACGATTCCATGACATAGCTAGCTCCAACCCTCGCACAGCTCAGTCCGCCACTACTGACAGTTCTAGACCATGCCTTCTTTTGGCACTCATTTCTTCACTGGCATCCTCCTGTGCAGGGACCGCAGCTGTGGGGCTGAGAAAGAATGTTGTTCAGCGTTTCCATTTCTGGAAAGTACTGTGCCTCTTGCAAACCGTTTGAGAAGTAGGCTGTTGCTGAACTGGATGCAAAACCATCGTTTTGAATGCCACTGCTCGGATGTGAGGCGATTATTTTGATAGTTTCCATTGCCTTGATGAACCTAGTAACGGCCGTGCCTTGTCTGCAACAGTTGAAGGAACAATTTGACATGAATGTGCGGAAGTGGTTTCCCAGTCATTTTGATCACGAGGTGTTGGTTGAAGGTGCATTGGAGAATGCCCAAAATGACAAGGAAGCTGACAAAGTCGACCTTCAAGAGAAGCTGAAGCGAGCAGATCCTCAGCAGATAAATTCATAGAGGATTGTCCGAGTCTCGCTAATGAAGACACTCGCTTCTTGTTAGTATATAGTAGTAAGGCCAGGAGCTGCTAGTAGCGTCCTTGCTCCTAGTAGCGATGCCCTTTGTTCCTAGTAGCTTCTTTTTGCCCTACTTGTGAGTCAAGCAGGTTCCAAAGATCCGGCAAGTCTTCCATGCAATGGATGCCAATGGAGACGGCAATGTTTCCTTGGAGGACACTCAAAAGAACAAGCATTTGTTGACAGTTTAAAGACTTTGCATGTGTTGTCTAATATTGGCTTGACCCACAAGAGTGTGCAGGAGATCGAGGCTGTCCCCATGGACGTGCTGCCAAAAGAGCTGTTTGAGAAGAGTGGAATCAGCAGCATGAAGGTGAGGGAGGATCTGTTTCTGACACTGGGGACACAGAATTCTCATCAAACTACGTAAGCTTCAAGCGAGCGGGGCCTCCTCATGAGATTCGCCGCCTGCGTCGATGTGTCAAACATTTTGTTGCTGTCGAGCAAAGTTGTGGACTTGTACATCAACCTAATACAGTTGGGGTTCCTCGCTCTAAAGACATGCTGAGTGTAGCGACCATTTGTTTGTGTTTAAGTCAAGTCAGGTGTGGTTTACTCTCTGTGAAAGAGCTCTGACTATCAAAGTGTCAGAATGTCGAGGAGATTTTTGCAATCCTTGATGTTGATGGTGGAGGTGAACTATCGCAAGATGAGTTTGTTTGGGACCCTAAGCAGCTGCACTACCTTCAGCTCCATATCATATCGTGATGCTCACATTGTACTTCAGGTCGATGGCCTTTTGGACATTTTCTTCCGAGATGTACCACTTGAGATCCTTGGCCATTTGTAGTGTTGGACATTCCACCTAACTAGAAGGCTTTTATAAGAGCACTTGTAATAATTCAAGAGATGCCCACGACAGCAATGGTTTCACTGCGGAAATGATCTTGAAGGACAGTGCAAACTTTGAAGCTTCTCCGGCTGATGGAGCATCGGTTGAACACTTTGAAAGAGATCATCGTGATGTTTCAAAATTTCCAGGTTGGGAATTCTTTCTGTCCATCATGTGAATACGTACTGATCATTATTCCTTCAACTTTAGACTTGACTTCTTGTACCTTCAACCAATGGAAAGAAACAACATTTGCAGACTGCAATGCTCCCACCTTTCCTCAAGTTCACTTCTTCACTTCAGAGAGCCATTGCGAGAGACATATAGAGAGCGAGAGCGAGAGCGAGAGAGGAGAAGAGGAGAGGAGAGGAGAGGAGAGGAGAGGAGAGGAGAAGAGAGGAGAGGAGAAGAGAAGAGAAGAGAAAAGAAAAGGAAAGAGAAGAGACTGGTTCGACATGTTGACACCAGACATTGGCTCAGGCACGAACTTTGATTTGCAACGCTGCCTGTCTAGGGCAAAAAGCACACCTAAGACCCTGTTGAAGTGTAACTTAATAAGGCAATGCACCAACCATACAATTTGTTTCGCCAAGGTGTGCATATTTTCTGTCTCTCCCTCCCTCCCTCCCTTCCTCCCTCCCTCCTTTCTGCTACCTTAAGAATCGCCGTTTTCTTCCAAGATTCTTCAACAATTCAAGCGTTGCCTGTTGCCCTTCAGTTTCTTTCAGCAATTTGCTCAATCCAATCGTGTGGACACGGCCTTTCAATTCACATCTTCTCACCTTGTCGGGCCCAAAACAGTTACTGTATATATATATATATATAGGCTTTCTTTTGCCACAATTTGGGTCCAGCCTTGCCAGGTTCTATTGCCGTGCCCGTCATTTCTTGACTATATAATATAACTACGCTACTATTATGCCTGCCCTTACAGCACAATATTCATCCACGTTCCCGAACATGCGGCTTCACGAAACTCCAACGTATTGTGGTGGGCAACCTATTGTTTCTGCCAAATTGTGAGACTTTTCCTCAACATCCAGAAGCAGGAGCCGTTGAAGCCGTTGTCCCCCCTGAGCCTACTTTCAAGTGAAATACAATTGAAATGCTCTCTTGCTTGGTCTTCAGTCTGGACCTAGCACCAGCTTGGCTTGTCTCCTCCCCACGTTCTCCCACTCACACTGCTCCCATTCCTCTATTTGCCCATTCGGCTATATATTATTCCCATCGTGCCCGGTGGAACAAGGCACACTTCTTTCAAGCAACATGATGCCATGCCTTGAAGCCTGTTGAAGCCCTTCACGCTGTCTCCATTCTCTGTAGTTCTTGTGGGGTTGACCTGAGCCAACGTGAGTCATGGCGTGTGCAGGGCCCACAAGCTCAACACATCACATCGCCTCAGCCGGTTCAGGCGCACTTAGGACCTGAAAGGGGTGACCACCCGATTTGGACCAAAAGCAAGAGAACCTACACGACAGCCGGACTCTATCTTCGGATTTTGTTGTGGGGACTTATTGCTGATGCACAGTGAAACAGATTGCCAGCAATTCCATGTTTCCGTTGATTTTGAAGGCAGACCAGAGCTTGCAGAACCCATCTGAGACATTCCGCATGCTGCTTTCTTGAGTGCCTTGACAAGCAAAAAATACCACCACAAGCCTGTTACAATTTGCGATTCTTCAGCCGTTGCATTGAAAGCTGAGGTGCGTGAGGACAAGAACCGAGGTAAAAAAATGAGTCAATGAGTGGCGGAGCCACATAGTTGGGATTAAGTGCCCTCTAGATACATAGGCCGAGCCAACAACTTGGTTTGCAAACGCGGGCTGTCTCACATGAAAAACTTGCTGCATCCCCAGGTGCATAGGCAAGGGGCACCAACTCGCGTGATTGTTAAGCTTGCAGTAGCAGGTTTCTGATTGCTAGGTGTTCAGAGTTTGGACGGTAATTACTTTAACATATGACCGTTCGCCAGAGGTTCGATCTCTTTGAATTGGTGCTTTTTCCCATCCTGGACTCCGGCGGCAAGACGTGTTCTTTGCGGGGAATTGAACTTCCGACAGGCTTTGGGTTTCTTGTCCAAAGGACTGAAGAAACAGCCGGTATGGAAGGCATCATGTACCAGCTTTGAGCTTTGGTCCTTTGCTGGGCAGCACAAAAGAAGCGATAGACTGGATTAGTCTTGGACGTGCATTTTTGAATTGATGAGCAAGCGAACTTGGCTAGTATGATGCTTGCAGACAATTTTGAAGTCCTGAGTCAGGGTCTGAGCCCAAGCCACACCTTGGCCATCCAACTTCACTGAAGTCCACTGGTTTGTCTTGCGTTTACCCAAGACTGATGCGATGACTTTCACTGGGCGCTTGAAGCTATGCAGTGCATTGCAGTGCTGATTCAATCCAACTCGCACATGTGGTGGATTAGGCGAGTTGGACCAGTTTGAGTGTAAAAAAGACCGGAAAGTCCAGTGCACATGGTTCTGTTGATTTCAAAACTCAACGATTTCTCGACGATATTGGGCTCCAGGGATCTTCAAAAGCAGAAGGCAAAAGCAATGAAGAGACATGCGCCAAGCTAGTACTTGATTGTGCCATTTGGGCTGATGGCTTCTGATTTCTGTTCACAAGGAACAGAATCCCAACATCAAATTCACAACATAAAGAGTTGTGAGGGCCAAGCTGAGCGTCGGAGATGTTGAGGCGACTCTCAATTGTGTGCGAAGCTTAGTCGACTTTATTCAGGGTTCCAGGATGTTCCAGGCTTCGATCCATTTTGTGAATGAAACTGGGGTTGCAAAAAAAGCTGGCGGCATGTTCACAGAGCTGGCTTGGGAACTCTGCAACAGATTTTTTGCTGTGTGCTGCATCAGCCAGCCAAAATCAGATTTGACGGGAGGTGGAAGTTATGGCGGGGTTCAACATAATTAGGACTTGAGGTCCATCAAGCCAACCAAGCATAATGCCTCGGCTTGAATCCAAGAACCAGCCTAGCACTTGGATGTCAAACATGGCTTCCCAAGTGGGCAGACAACAGGTTCGGCGTTAGCCAGGCAACAGAAGCTGCAAACCTGAAAGGAAAGAAGAAAGGAAAACACGAAGGGAAAGTACACAGAGAAAAGAAGAGTGCCTACCCACCCCTGGAGCTTGTTTTCTATATCATAAGCTTGCCAACGGCTATCTGTGGGAACGACAAGGTTCAGAGCTGGAAAGGCCTTCAACCTGGCCATGTGCTTGTGGGAAATGCTTGGAATAGAAGCTGGGCCTATGCCGGTGCAATTTGCTTTGTACTTTTCTACGTCTCACGGTCTCTTGGCCGTCCGACCGTATGTGAATTCTGGATTCAAACAAGCATGTCTTCGGCAGCGTACCCTTGCCGCCTTTGGGTATATAATTTGTGGGTTTCTTCAAGGATGAATTTTTGTCGATGTGGCTTCTGGCAAATGTTGTTTTTAGGAGCAGATAGAGCGGGGGACGGCCATGTTAAGAACCATGAAGAAGAAAATTCTGAACACAAAGACAAGAATAATTCAACAGAAGAGGGAAAATAAGCAATAAGCTGCAGAGCACCGGGAACCGGGTAGACCGCAACGGCGGCAAGACGCATCCCTGCATGGTCTGACACTGAGGCACTCCTTCGTTTAGGATGCAGAACACTGAAGGTTCGCCCCAGCAGAATGATAGTTTTTGTAACGAATCCCTGCGCACAAATTGTACCCGACAAACGTTGTTTCATGCTGCAGGTTCCCGCGCTTGAAGCACATGTGAAAGAGCATGTTGCCTAAAGAGGATGGCTGGTTCGCAGGCTCTATATCTTTGTTATACTGTATATAATTATACATGGGGCGGCTGATGATGGTCAGAGCTTATCTACCCAACAGTGAAAAAGAGTATTCTGTGTTTTGGTTGCTTGTTCCTTGCCAAGGGAGACCAGGATGTTTATATATATATATATATGCATTCTGTTCTGAAACTGCAATCAGAACACGTCTGCTCGTTTCCTCCCTACTTTGCATAATTGACCACTCTGACCGGACATTGTCTTTCCAATCCAATAACGTCACTTTGGTTGTGCCTAGTCTGAACCAAGGCTGGTATGCAGTGTCTTGGTCCAGGCTTTGGGAAGTGGTGTCAAACAGCCTTGTCTTTTTGTATTCGGTGGGTCTTTTGCCAATCCAGGGAGCCTGGGACCAGTCCAAGTGCGACTGTTGCGATGAATATACATTGCAAAGCCCTCGGCGAGTGCTGTTGGAACGTCACTGTTCCTCGTCACTGTTTGCCTGCAATGCATCAGGCGGGCGTACGCAGGCGAGCTGAACCGCCACTGTTTTCCAGCTGCACTCTTGCGGGAGAAAGAGGACACTCTTCCTGTTTGACCTTTCTTTTAGGCCAAGATAAGTTCAACTGACCTGCAAGGACGTCATTATAGGAGAGGCGTTTGATGGAAGTCCGTTTGTTCCGCAAGAGGCTTTGCCAAGTCCTCAAGGGGTTCCCTTGTGCCAAGTCTTCGCAAGATGAGGGATACAATTGGCATCACTTAGGCAGATCCTTTGTGTGTCTGGCCAAGATTTGAGTTGATTTCAGACAGCTTGTGCCGGTGCCCTTCACTCTGCAAGTTTAAGGCAAGTGCATTGTGCAGAAGCAGTGTCCTTCGTATCTCTGGCATGTGGATTGTATTCTGTTGTGCTAAGCAGCATAATTTGTAGTCATTATCAATCATGTTTGCTGTTTGACAGTGCCAACCAAAACGATACTTTCAGCGCAAAGTAGCGGTCATGTACCACGCCAAGTTAACAGTTGATGAGCTGCCCTTGATACCTCCATGAGTCCACCCAACAATCAGTGCAAAGTTTGTCTTTAGATAGCGACAGCTATGGTGTTCCTTCAAATAAGAATGAGCTTGCTGTGCGCTTTCGAGACAGGGTGCCAGGGCTAGTGCTGGTGCTGGGTGCCGGTGTTGGGTGGCGGTGCTGTGAGCTGGCTGTGCGCGTGGTGGAGACAGGGTGCTGGAAGGTTCTTTCTTCCAGTACAAGAAGAGGTTCCTGTGTGTGTTGTGGAGCTGGTGCCACTGCAGGGTGCTGTCCAGACATATTTTTTGCATATCTGGGGCGTATGCTGGTGTAAAATTTTTTAAAGCCCATGGTGTCTGTTACTATAGAATGGAAATCAGCTCCATGTAGGTACATATCAGGGTACCAGCGGGTACCATGCATTTAGAGAGTGAATTGTTGACTTTCTCGCCTGTACGTGGATTTTTGCAGTTTATACAAGTGTCTGATTGAGCATGCCTTCCTACATGAATATTTCAACTCTTGCAATTTGCAAACTTGCCAGGGTACTGGGCCCGGGTCCGTGGATGCTCAGAAAGCAGCAAGTGGAAGTGGCTCAATGGCATTCAGTTCAATTTTAATGGGGTTAAATTCTGGTCAAGCAGCGGCTGGAGCATCGCTGCAGGCGATATGGATTTGCCTGGGCAGCGGCGAAGGTGGGAGCTTGAAAATCTGCACATTTTTTCCCTTTGTTTCTAATATCGATGGCCTCCAACCTACTAGCGATGGCCTCCACCCTAGTAGTGATGGCCTCCTCACTTCAAAAAGTCAAGTCCCACTCTGCTTGTCCAACAAGGTTCGATGCATGCGACTTTCCCAGGCCGGGTTCTATTTTGCAGTCTTGCGACTTTAGTTACTTTGCAGCGACAATGCAGGCCCCACCCCGTCAAATTGTAGTGGGGCTTCAAAGTCCGCCACACCAAAGCCACATGAATTGAATGAGGAGCAAGATCCAATCCAGCAGTACCAGGCACGTTTTTGCTTCAAGTTCAAGCAAACCGATATACATTATTGGACGTCCAGTACTGTTTCAGTTGCTTGCATCCGAAGCCTGTTCTATTGTAGTTTGTTGATGCATATTGCAATTTGACAACGTTGATCTGTTGATTGCGGCGATGGTTTGGTGTAAACTTTTTCTGCAGGTCCTGATGCAGGCAACATTTAGCTGCGAAAGGTCACAGGAGCGACCACGATCAACAACAAGCGAAGTGCAGATTCTGGGTATCTTTTACATTATTTGTCCTTTTGCTCCTACCTTTTCTCTTCATTCCTTGTTCCACGCTTCCAAGTGCATTCTTTTCAAAGCAGGCCATGGACTCTGGAAGTCTTGAAGCTACGTCAGCAGCAATCAAAGAGGTGGGTCTTTTTTAACAATTGTTCTTGCGTTGCATTGGTCCTGGACCCATGAGTGCACACGAAGGGTTTTGCCCTGAAAAGACTGCAAGAAACCAGATCGGCCAATTGAGATGTCCCCAATGTTTGGCTCAGCTTTTGTGTTTGTAGCTCTGGTTCCTGAAACCCAGACTATACAGACACACAGTTGTTGCATCCATGCGAAACAAACAAACAGACAGACAAAGACAGACAGACAGACCGGCCGACCGACCGACCAACCAGCACTGAAGAATCAGAACCTTAACCGCTATTGATGGAAGCATGGAGCAGCCTTTGAATGACAGCATGGATATAGAAGAAACTCTAAGTCTAGCTTCCAAAGCGTTTTTTGAGCACTTGGATATGAGCAACTGGGTTCATTGCTCAGAGTGGCAAGTGACAACATGGCACCTGGAAAAGTCCTTGGCGTGACAAGTTTATGTATGACCAAGAGTACTTTCTGAGAGGCTGTTTTGCAGATGTTTGCCCAAGGTTGATGGACATGCTGAGGAACAATTGAAGATGCTTTGCATGATTTATTGCATGAAGCAATCCTGAAACGTGTGAAATTGCATTTGTTTGTTGATTGCCACCTGTATATGACATCTCGTGACAGTGCTCAAGGCGAAGCTCCAAAGTCTTGAGAGAACTGGCCAAGATACTGGAGAACATTGTCGGCAAAGATAGTCGAGTGTCAGTGAGTCGTTGCTTTTGCTTTAAGTCTAAAAGGGGTGTTGCTCTAGATGTCGTACTTGCATTTCGTTGCAACGTTTCTGCCCTTTCTCGGGCCGCGATATAGGCATCGCCTGCGTAGCCGCTAATTGGGGGTTTTTGGCTAGCTCGAGTTTGCTGAGTTGTGATTGTTGTACACGGCGTCCGTGCGACTTTGCCTTCATTTGTTCATAAAGCCTTTCTTTTGGCTTAAATTTTCCATCAAGACGGTCACCTTGCTGCAATCGTTCTGGCCCTGTAAGTTCTTCAAATTGAGACTTGCTAGCAAACACACCTACGGAGACGTCACGGACTCCTCTCGAGCATCCTCGTGGTGTGAAATATGATTCCATTTCGTTGATTTCGTTGTCATCAAAATGGGCTAGACGCACGACGGCCAGAGAATATGCGGATCGGCTTTCAGCGGGCAAAACCGCTATGAGGAGAGATGGACAAGCACCGCAAAAGGCGTGGATTGACTCTCGACAGGCCAGGACTGCCAGGACTTAGGATCCAAGTCTTGCGCAAAGGAAATTGGCCACGCAGGCTGAAATTTGCACAGCTGTGACCATTCTGATCTATGCAATTTTCATTGGCTTTGAGCTAGAGATGCTTGGTAGCAAAGCCATCCTGGAGTGGTCACCATCCCGAGCAATGGCCAGCATAGCAAAACGGATTTTGCGAGGATTGAGACCAATCATCCACATGCAGCACCGGAGCTTTCCATTGACTCTTGGCAAGTGCAAAGAAGCATAACATGCAGCAATTGGGTTGAGAACGAAGAACACCCAGGCTGTCGTATGTATAAGTCAAGTCATACTTGTGTTGAAAACGAGGTGTTGCCAAAAAGGCTGTCACCCGGTGTATCAAGGCCTTTCTGATTTGCCATGCCAGCGGCCCAGTGTCACGACTGTCGTTGTGAAGACGCCAGTACATTGTTTCTGAGGTCATTTTCAATATTGTTTTTGTCGTGGAGTTGGTGTTGAGACTTCGATCCGTTGGGATAAGGCTCGTCAGCAAAGCATTTGGCCGCTTCATCGAAAGATACAGTAGAAACATCCACCTTTCCTGTAATATGCTCTTGCGGTGACAAGCGATTGATCGGTGTCAGCAAGGCCTATCATAAAAGCCGTCAACCTCGATTGCATAACAGCAGTTGATAGACACAGCCCCAACCTCCATAGGCAGAGTCAGACTTTGCCTGTAGGTACTGTTCTCCTTTCAATCCAGTAGGTTTCTTTGCTCCTTGGATATTGAGAAGAGCTTTTGATCACCGAGTGCCAAGTGCATTTCACTTGCTCTGATAATTGGTAATGTATTTCAGCCCTACTCGGAAGATTGAGGACACCTTGATCATCCTTATTGGCACTGGTGAGACGGTCTTCTCCGTGTCTCTGGCCATCATGTCGGAAACAGAAGGTAGTGTGCCTCGGCCAAATTCAAAAGTACAAGAAGCTACTCGGAACACAGGGCATCGCTACTAGGAGCAAGGACGCTTCTAGTAGCTCCTGGCCTTACTACTAGTAGCAGGAAGCTACTCGGAACACAGGGCATCACTACTAGGAGCAAGGACACTTCTAGTAGCTCCTGACCTTACTAATAGTAACAGGAAGCTACTCGGAACCCAGGGCATCGCTACAAGGAGCAAGGACGCTTCTAGTAGCTCCTGGCCTTACTACTAGTAACAGGAAGCTACTCGGAACACAGGGCATCGGTACTAGGAGCAAGGATGCTACTAGTAGCTCCTGGCCTTACTACTAGTAACAGGACGCTACTAGGAACAAAGGGAATCGCTACTTAAAGGACGCTTCTAGTAGCTCCTGGCCTTACTACTAGCAACAGGAAGCTACTAGGAACAAAGGGCATCGCTACTAGGAGCAAGGACGCTTCTAGTAGCTCCTGGCCTGACTACTAGTAGCAGGAAGCTACTAGGAACAAAGGGCATCGCTACTAGGAGCAAGGATACTACTAGTAGCTCTTGGCCTTACTACTAGTAACAAGAAGCCATTAGGAACACAGGGCATCGCTACTAGGAGCAAGGACGCTACTAGTAGCTCCTGGACGTTCTACTGGTAACAAGAAGCTACTAGGAACAAAGGGCATCGCTACTAGGAGCAAGGACGCTACTAGTAGCTCCTGGCCATACTACTGTAACAAGAAGCTACTAGGAACAAAGGGCATCACTTCTAGGAGCAAGGACGCTACTAGTAGCTCCTGGCCTTACTACTAGTAAGAGAAAGCTACTAGGTAACAAAGGGCATCGCTACCAGGAGCAAGGATGCTACTAGTAGCTCCTGGTCTTACTACTAGTAACAAGAAGCTACTTGGAACAAAGGGCATCGCTACTAGGAGCAACGACGGAGCTCCTGGCCTTACTACTAGTAACAAGAAGCTATTAGAATCGTGAAGCTTGTGGTGGCATCGCGCCTCCACCCCAGGGGGATGGTTCTTCAGTGCTTGCCATTGCTGGTGTCATGCGTATTCTCCGATTGCTTCGTCTTGCTAGGCGAGGAAAGCTTAGTTCTTGACCCTCACAAGCATTTGCAACGTGTATTGTTGTTTGAGATGGACTGCGTCAATGCAGTTTCAAAGGCGTCGGAGACAGCACTAGGTGCGGTATGGATTGATCACTTCTTCGGATGCAGAGCCAGTTTCAGCAACAACAATCCGGCCACAATCCCTGCACCATATAGTTATACATACAGGCCCCTACAGGCTGGCGAATCCGATCATACTTGTACCCGAATATTCGCCGAATAGATCCAACAAAGTAGGATGATGTGAGACTGTATATGTTGGGATATGTTAAGTGTGCAATGTGCAAACTGTGAGTTCTGCAAATTATACACAAAGGCGACTGTCTGAAGGCTGGCTGTTGCACCTGGCATGACTTCGCAACTCAAGTATACTATTTTTTTCTGGCCGTGCATGAGACACGGACCACCAATTGTTAGAACCACCTTGTTTCCTGCAAGGCTCCTGCGAGGCTTCTTGGTTTGCCATGAGTTGCGCTTGCTTGTCACAGGCGAGATCGCGTCTTGTTGCTGTTTTTTGTTGCATGGACTAGCATCAATCAGCAACTTTTGTGATGTGCCCACAGAATTCAGGCATGATGCTGGCGCTCCCAACTGTCGTGTGGGCTGGCGTCCTGTTTGCAATTGTCGTGTATTTGGGAACGATGCATCTCGGCAGAACCTTGTGTGCCGCTGAACATTTTCATGCCCGCCCGCTCGGCCTTTGTTGTGCACTTATTCTTGATTCTAGTGCTCAAAGGGCTCACGCCATTATGTATATATGTACTGTATATACACATGTTTTTGTGTTTCTCTTGTATGCTCCCGTTTCTGAGTGGTGCCCGTTGGCGCCGCTTCGACAATTCTGCCACAAATGACTGCAAGACATCAGCCACTTGAACGTGCCTGGTGTGGTGACCCTGCTCTTCATTGGATTCCTCCCCAGAATGCAACCACTGCCTGCTCCCTGGTCAGGTTGTGGTACATATATACCTAAGCAGAAGGCAGTTGTCACAACACACTTGAAGCTAGCAAGCAGCGTAGCATTGGTTGTCTGAGTCTATGTACAGATCATAGAGGGCTCAAAGTTTTGTTTCAACCAGAAGTGCTAAGAGCACTGAGTACTTGATGCATTTGTTTTGGCAGCATTGTGCATTCTAGGGTAGGCGGTGTGAAATTTGTGGGCCAAGTTCCAGTACAATGAGGTAACTTACCAGGTCAGGTTATAGCTTCGCAGCCTTCCACAGCCGCCTTTCACGAGCCGCAAGAAGTTCCACTGGTGGAAAAAGGAATGCTTCAAGTCACCGGGTGTTTCTGCGTAATTGAATCGCCCGGGCTGACTTTCATTGGCAAGACCTGATAACTTGGGATACGCGTTTATGTCATGAATCATGAGAGATCAATCCACCGAAACAGGTTCCAAACTTCCGCCAACCAACACAGCACCGCCAACTGGACCACCAACTGGTAGGATTTTGGGCCGAGACAGCTGCAGATGTATAAGACCTCAGGGATGGAGTGTGGCAAGAACCAAGCCAAACGAGCAAGCTCAGAGTTTTCAGGCGTGTTGGAAGAAAAGTTGTTTTGGCTGTTCTTTTTCCCCAATAGCCATGCTATGGGGTCTTGCAAAACTAATAGGCGGACGGGCGCCGTCGGGTCACCGTCAGAGCTGGTGGGCGGATGGTGTCCCGGTCATGTTTTGATGGCGTCCGGGTCATGTGATGCTGGTGTCCCGGTGTCCCGATCATGTTTTGATTGTGACCCAATCATGTTGTGATGGTGTCCCGGTCCTCTTTTGATGGTGTCCCGGTCATGTTTTGATGGTGTCCCGGTGATGTTGTGATGGTGTCCCGGTCATGTTTTGAAGGTGTCCCGGTCATGTTGTGATGGTGTCCCGGTCATGTTGTGATGGTGTCCCGGGCATGTTTTGATGGTGTCCCGGTCGTGTTGTGACGGTGTCCCGGTCATGTTTTGATGGTGTCCCGATCATGTGATGGTGGCGCGGTCATGTTGTGATGGTGTCCCGATCATGTTTTGATTGTGTCCCAGTCATGTTGTGATGGTGTCCCGGTC